TTTAAAAGTTGATTTATGTTGTTTGGTTCAAATTAATTAAATTTGAAAACTGTGCAACTTTGATCCAATCCTGGGCTGCTTTTTAAAAAAAAATTCAGGGTAATTCATGATATTTTGGAATTATTCTCACTACCTTCATCTTCACCACCAGTGTTACTTGTATAATGTTTTTCATTGTCATGCGTATTTGTTCATAATGCAGTATGCTACTCTCGAGCACTGAAATATATTGAATGATCATTTACTTTTCACATACAGTATAAGCTTAAGTAGAATGGTAATCCAGTCAAAACGTTGAGGTATGATGGGCAGTTAAAGTATTCGGTCGATGTAAAGAAGCCATCGACAAACATAACACTATATCTGATAGCATTTGATACAAGTTAAAGTACATGACTTAAATTTGCTAGTAGTCAGCGATTAAAATGGAAAGAGAAACAAACCTAGAAACTGGTGAAACTAGATCTTCAATTCATTCCAGAAGGATTAATTTTGGCTCGGATATTGGAATGAGGATGCAGGGGTAAAATGATTAGAGAAGTGAGTTAATTTATTGTAATTAAAGAAACCTCTATTAAAGATGAATTCTGTGTAATTGCATTTGTGCATTATTTAATACCTAGGAATGCATATGAGTTATCATTTTTGACAACAATATTATTCAAAATGGTTCCAGCAATTGGTGAACTTGCATCCTTGTGAGGAAAAAATTATCTGGTATAGCACAAAAAAGGCCATGAAATAAATATAAATGTAAATAATATTTAACAGCAGCAATTTCAATGATTTATTTAAATTTTTCAAGCATGTGACTGAAAGAGTTTGAGATTATGAAGTCCAACAAATCTACCGTTCTGAAATGAAGTGTTTGTCAGAACTAGGAGGTGCACTATTGGATTAAATAAACAGGGTAGCGAAGAACAGTCAGGTGTTCTGACTCTATCATGAGGTCTGTTAATGGATTTAATGGCTTCAAAACAGATTTGTTTAAAACTTAAAAAGAGAATAGGATCCCCATTTGTTCAATGACTGTGTGTTTTGTGTTCAACTGTGTTGAAAGTTAGTACTTTCAGAAAGTGAGTGTGTTAGATAACCATGGTTTCTCACTATTTATTTGTGAATTCAATGAGAGCTGTTTCAGTGCTATGCCAGGAAAAAAAACCTGATTGTTTGTTTGGATTCAAACTTTAATTTACAGAAAGTTGGGTACAGATTTTAGAATTGATGATGCATTCAAAATCTTTGGGGAGGAAAGGAAACTACTGTAGTAGTTATTTTACTGAATGAGTAATTCAGCGGCTAATGATCTTGATATCAAATTCCAAAAACACAATTTTAAAAAAAAATTCAAAACTTCTGTAATGACTCTTGTCTACGATAGCTTGGGAAGTTAAATTCAGTCATAGAGATGCACAGCACGGAAACAGATCCTTCAGTCCAACTTTTCAGTGCTGAGCAGATATCCTAAATAAATCTCGTCCCATTTGCCAGCATTTAGCCCATATCCCTCTAACCCCTTCCTATTCATGTACCCATCCAGACACCTTTTGAATGTTGTAATCTTACCAGCCTCCTCCACTTCTTCTGGCAGCTCATTCCGTGCACGCCCCACCCTCTTAATTCATGGTATGTCCTAAAAATCCATTTTGTTATCTACTGTTCTTTTGGAAAGGAAACGTACTAGCTTTTGTGACTCTAAATTCACAACTATGAGCTTAACTCTTCATTATATGCTGTAATTGCATATCAAGCTACCAAATGGAGTGATTCACCCTCCCATTTTTGAAGATGTTTGAGGATACTTGGTACTTGGTGTCCCCTGTCCACAGCGAAAGCGTTTTTTTTTTTTTAGAAAAGCCTAAGAAATAGAGAAGGAGATCACAGACAAGAAAGCTGGCCTTATGGTTGAAACAATTCTTCCATGCTTTCTATTGATCTAGTACTTTTCCTTGGGACATTAGAAGTAAAAGTGAAGAGTCAATGACTGGCTGTTGTGTGTGGGTTGAAGGAGTCTGCCTAATGTGGCTGGTGACCATTTCTCAATACGTGTTATGCCAATAGTTGCATTCATAAAGATCTCCAATGTGATGATATGATTTTGTTAGTCCTTTTGTTAGCTAATCATAAGGAAGTATTAGTGTGTAATTTTTCATTTAGCTGTAGTACTGAGACTTGTCATTAATTCAGCTTAATCCAACTAAGTTTCTATGTGTTGTCACCATTTAATTACAAAAGTATTGCTGAAATCACACTAAGCATACCAGCCACTTTAGACAACAGTTTTCAAAGTTTTGTACTCCAGCATATTTCAAATGTGTATATTGTACAGGCTGCAAAGAAAGAAGATAAAATATTAATGACCTGTGTTTCATATATTTTCTTTTTGCATTTTGTTTCACTAGGTAATTTAAAGTTAGGAAAATGATGCAACTATTGGCTTTTTGCTGCTACAATATTGCCATTTACAGGCATGGTTATAATTAGAATCTCTGGCAAGACTAGATGGAAGGAAATGGAGCATTTTTTTTTTGTTGTTGAAGAATTTTCCCTAGTTTGTTCTTGGAAAGTATTCTATTTGTTATAATGGGAAAATTGCATTGTTGCCATTATACCAGCTGTAGGTGGTAGAACTGTAAGAAGGTCGTAAGAAACAATACTGCACTACTCGAGGACAATAACTTGCAGAAGAACCATCAGAATTCAATTTAATTTTTCTTTTTGATATCCAATCTTCCACCTTTGTAATCTCAAGGATGGGTAGGTATTTCAGGCCAAGCCTGATTGTAATCTATGACAATTTCTGCTGTCTTGATTGATTTTTGTATATTTCTATGCATATTGTACAGAGCTGTTAAACCTCTTTGGTGTGGATATGATAGAATCACTTTTTTTTTGAAGAAAACTGTTCTTTTTACTCACTAACAGTTTACTTTTTTTCAACAGTTGGCATATTGCATAGTACAGTTTCTAGAAAAAGATCCAACGTTAACTGAATCGGTATGTTTCACCAATAATTCCCAATGAATACTCTGTTTTAAAACAATGCTAAATCTGGTTGATCTTAAAATGTTTGTCCTGTGTGCTTCAGGTCGTCAGGGGTTTACTAAAGTTTTGGCCAAAAACCTGCAGTCAAAAAGAGGTAAGCAAACAGTTGGAACCTACACTTCTCTAAAAATGTGGAAAGGAAGGTTTGGGCTGATATGATAAATTATGGAAAATTTTAATTACAAAACTAAAAGCGGTTCACTGTTAAATCACTCCAGTTGCTTCCATAGCACTCAAGCACTTGACTGCACTGATTATCTTCAGAATTATGTTTCTATTAAACATTCTGCCTGCTGCTGAAGCTACTATCATTCAAAAAGTTTTAAGTTCTCACTTTGAAATAATTTATTGGAAAGTTTTTAAAATCTACTTTTTTTGTTTTTATGTTGATCAGCATATTGAATGAAAGATTCCTAAATATTTGTTATGATGTCATAACGAAGTACTTACAATCCCATAATTACAAAAGGAAATTAAAGATCTGAAATGCCATGAACAATTAATTTCTTGTACCTTCTGTGCAGATCTGTTGTGAGCATACTAAGATGCGGGTCTCCTAAGTAGATTGAATGCTGCTGTTTGACATAATACTGAATTTTGTAGAATTTTCACAATTTTAAAATAATATTTAACTGGCTTCTATAAGAATGAAAGAATCAGTTGGAAGCAAGAAATCTTAGAATGGTTGCAACACAGAAGTTATTTAGCCCATTATCTGCATTGGCACTCTGAAGAAACAATTTATCAAGTATCATTTTCTTCCTTCTCTTCTTTCCCCACCCCCCATTTTTTCCCCCTCTCCCTCTCCCTCTTCCTTGTCTTCCTCTTGCTCGTTCCCCCACCCCAAGCACTACATTGTTTCTTTTCAGCTAATCCCATTGATTTGAGCTAGTCTTCACTGTCCACTCTAATACCTCTGCATCCTTCCTGAAGTGTTGTATCCATAAATGGATGAAATGTTCTAGTTGATAACAAACTAGTGTATTTAGCCTATATAAAACAATTTCTTTGTTTTTCTACTTGCCACTATTTCTAAACCTAGGATACCTTGTTCTTTATTAACAGTTCTCTCAACCTGTCCTGCCGTGTTCAGTGAATTTAGCACATAAACATCCAGGTCCCTCTGTTCTTGCATCCTCTTTTGAAATGTAACCTTTCTTTTATTATATCTCCCAATGTCATTTCTCCCACAATAAATTACTTCTATCATGTTAAATATCTTTGCCATGTGTACATGCACTCCACCAACCCTTGGCCTTTTAAAGTTCTACACTATCCTATGCTCAATTTGCAGTGCTTCCAAGTTTGATATTATCAGCAAATTTTAATATTTTATATGTTTAATATTTAGATCATTTTAGATTTGTATGTACACATCTTCATAAAGAAGAGCAGGGTCCTAATAATCAGCCCCTGGAGTGCTCCACTATATATTCTCCTCCAGTTGTAAAAAGCTGTTAACCATGCTAATTTGTTTCCTGCTACTCAGCCAATTTTTATATTGCCACTGTCCTTTTTAACCCATGAGCTCAAACTTCGTTCACTTAGAACTCCCATTATAGATCACATCACTTGTAATGCTCTCATCAACATATTCTGTTCAAAAAAACCGGAAGTTAGTCATGCTATTTTACAGTAACATGTCTGTGCTGCCTTTCCTTTAATTAATCTCCATTTATCCAAGTAGCTATTAATTTTGTCCCAGATTCTCATTTCCAAAACTTTTACACAGCACTGAGGTTAAACTGACCACGCTATAGATGTTGGATTCACCTTTACACCCTTTTGTAAATGTGGCACCCATGTTGAAATTCTCCAGTCTTCTGACACAGGCTCAAGTCTGAAGAGGACTGGAAAAGTATGGCCAGTGCCTCCACAGTTTCCACTCTCGCTTACATCAATATCCCTGGATGCATCTCAACTGAACCTGGTGCCTTATCAACTTTGAGCACTACCCAGTACTACCCCCATCATATTCTATAACTCTTCAGATGGTCCCCTTGTTAAATATTATCTCACCAGTAATACCCTTTCTGACTTCTTCCTAATACCATTGTTGGGGATTGTAACTCTGACTTCTGTTCTTTCCTCTTGGCAACCACTATTATTGAAGTATTCTCAGAATAGTTTAACTGATCAAAGCAACCAATAATGTGGCTATAATTTCCATTATTCCATGATTGATTAATTGAAATGCATGTCTTAGGGCAGACTGCAGCATATGATTGGTTCATACAGGTAAACAAGTATTGACCACATTTGTTTAGCTGTTGGATATTAGCTTGGATGTGAACTGATATAACATGAAATTTCAACTGGAAGTGGGAGAATAGCTAGCATGAGAAATTCAGACTTCAATCTATTAATTTAAATGTGCAGTCTCATTTCTAATGAAAACCTAATACTGATGACAGACTCTGGTATGCTATGACCAGTTTTCATGTTTAATGTGTAAAATGTTCATTTTTGTTTCCAAATTTTTTGATTGTAAAGTTTTGAGGCATTTGGTTTCATTTTCAGTGAACTATAAGCTTTGCTTCGTAGAAACTTTCACTTTTTTTTTCCAAACTTCATTCCATTTCATAGGCTTGTGCCTTTTAAAATTGTTTTTCTGAAATAAAAACATGTCCTGGTGTCACAATTTCCATCTGTTCCTACTTCCCCATTGCACGGTGAGATCATCTATGTTCTGTGTGTCAGGTATGATTGACAGCCAGTCATCTCTGACACTGAACCAATCATATTCCAGGTTTCCAAGTCAGAATATGGGGACAGGCATTCCTGCTTATTCGGGTCACAGCAGCACCCCAAGACTTTGACAAAATAGTGATCCTGGTGAAGTAGTAAGACTGCTTATTACTTTTCTTTTCTGCATCATGAGCAGTAGAATTTTCTAAATTAACCATATAGGACTATTGAATAAATCATCTGTAAACCTATCAAATCCTTAATGTGCTTGACCAAGTTTGTGTTTGAGAGCATAGGTTTTTGAGTGACTGTATTTAAACTCTTGGTCTGTTGATAATCTGTGTGAATGCAGTGCCAGCCAGGTAAAATGCATATACTCAACTTTTACTTGGGCATAAGTTACTCTTTAAGACCCAATTTATAATTGGCACTGACTTAATGAAGATTTATTTTGGAACTTCCAACTCCAATGTCGAAATGGGTAATATGGATTCGACCACCCATAATAATCCTGTGCAATTCTCTTTCCATTGACTTCCTTTGATTTGGGTGGCTAATTCACTACTACCCATTTCCTGCTTCTGTCAAAGTTGAAAATTCCATTCATTATTTTGAAAAGCAGTTTCCATTTAAATTTAGTAGAAGCAATATTTAAAGATCCTGTATGCCAAGACACATCATAGGGTGCTATGTCCTTAATTTTTTTCCCTCAAGTTTTCTAATGAGTTGCACTTCTTTTATCACAGGTTTCAAAACAATGTAATAATTTTAAAATGTGATATTTTAATGAGTTCATGTTAGAGAGCTCAATGGTCGGCACAACATTGTGAGCCGAAGGGCCTGTACTGTGCTGTATATTCTATGTTCTATGACACGTAATTAAAGAATGATCCTAAGTGCTTCCACCATAGAATGAAATGCAGTTCTTAGATTAGTATGATTTTCTTAATAAATCTTTTGGATTTCATTAAAAGAAGATTCTTTAAATGGCAATAAATAAATTAAGATGGAATTGTTTTTTATTTTGTACACATTTTTGTTAATACCTAGCCCTTACATTAATAAAACTCGTGAGAGTAAAATAAATTTGCCAATATGACAAAGTGAAGATTGACTAAAGAGACACTTTAGTGTGTTGAGAACTTTGTAAAATTTCTTACGATTCTGAATTAGCAAACAAAAACCATTGTTTTGGTAGTCTGTTAGAATGTTATTCCTGAAATTAGAAACACTGAATGTCAGCACAAATTTAAGTTATTGGTATTTTAGAAGGAATAGTGATATTTTGGAATAATTCAAAGAGGTGCTCAATAAAATGAAGGCTATGATGTGCTGTAGTCCCCAACATCTCAGCTATTTTAAGCATGGAATGGAGGTTTTCAGATCAAATCGAGTTTCATTTCTGGCCTGTGCTGAACTAGTAGATCATTGCCTGTAATAGTAAGGGTACCATGGTACTACTTTGGATTGCTTTGCTTTGCTCCTGGGTCCAATTGGGGAAACGTCAACCACTGTTAGAACTGTGAGAAGTGAATGTTCGATAAGGGGATGTTTAGGCTCACATAATTAAACAAATTGTCAACATCACACACAGGAAGTTATGCCCCCTGGATGAGGTAGCAGAGTGTTAATGGGATTTGTAGAATGCTACCTTTTGATTAGTGGATACTTTCAGGAGAGATGCATAGGAAAGATTAACTTAAGAAATGGATTCAAGTATACAGAATTTATGGAAGTATTGATATGTTGAATTACAAATCCACAAAGTTAAGTGATTTGTATTGAGAAAATCATAGTGTGTTAAAATATTTTGTTCTGAAAATGAATGACTTATTGATGTTGCTTTATTTCATACTAGGTCATGTTCCTTGGAGAGTTGGAAGAAATCTTGGATGTTATTGAACCTATACAATTTGTAAAAATTCAGGACCCACTCTTCAAACAAATCTCCAGATGTGTTTCCAGCCCTCATTTCCAGGTTAGAAGTTACTTCTTGTGCCAAAGCTGGAAGCAGTATTGCTGTTAGCACAACACAGTTCTGGGATTTTAACATAAATTATTTTCTGTAGATACAAAAATACATTCAGTCTTCTAGTGTAATCGATTAATTTGTTGAGTAGGGGTGTTTGGCAATAAATGACCATAAATACCTTTTTGCTTTCTTTCCATATATATTAGATATTTAAAATTTCTCGAATCTTCGGAAGAAAAATTGAGCATCAGCGGGTTAAATCTGCTGCTACATCTTTTTAAATAGTATTTACCTCTTCAAAATTGTATTGTAAGAAATTTTGTTTTTTTGCTGCTCTGATGTTTAAATTGTTTAAAACAAATTGTAGCCTGTAGCTTGACCTCCTTTCCTACTGAATGGTGGCATTGTTTATTGAAAATTTGTGAGCATTCTTTTCAGATAAAGTTTTAAATAAAAATCATAATTGAGAGAAAGAACAGCAATATCATGCCACTAAATTTCTGATCACTGCCAAGAAAAGCCCAACACTAGAAACACTTATTCCCAAAATTAGCCTCTGGAGTTTTGCTAAGTTTTCTTGAACTGCCTCTAGTAACCTTGAAAACAGAGATCAGTACTGTTAACTAGACACTTCAATACCAACATACGACCATTTAACTATATTCTATGTTTGTACATTGGGAGCAGGGTACTGAGATCAGCTGACAGATTAAATTGAGATATTAGCATTATCTCCGTTTAATTAAAATATTCCCTTCTATCACCGTGTACCTGCTCAACTCTGCAGCCTGTCTCTCTACCTATCATTAATTTAGCTATTCTGTAGCACATGATCTTCAGGAAAATGAAGAGCTTGTTAAATATCTCTGTATAAAATTAATTTTTTTCAAAACTGAACTTTAATAAGAAATGATGTATACATTATTCTCAACGTCATATTCCTGCTTTCACACTGCAATAGAATCTTGGGTTTGCACAGGGCAGACTTTTCTTTTTGTCTGAACTTGGGTCTCTTCCCTGGTGCAAGAACATTTGAGTTTAGCGCCTTGACATGGGATTAGATAAATCCTTAAGCCCTGCACCTCAACACTTCCCTAAAGAAATAATTAGCATTTTTATGTCTGATTTTAGGTCTGGATATCAATCAAATTTAAATTGGCTTGCAAAACTGATTTAACAACCCTAGCCCAGGTTGAAATTTAACCTGTGTGCACCAATTCTCAGTTGGGTTACTTGTGAACTGTTGAGTCAATGAAGAAAAGTGTTTTATTTTGTCAAATCATCCCAGAAGTCAGCCCATAAATAGCTAGCTAACTATTAATTAACTACAGTTATCACTTTAAATTTCAAGGGTACACAAAACTGAATAGGAATAGTTGGTGTGTTGTCTACATTATAATGAGCAATTGAGTTACTTAATAATGAGTATGAAGTTGTGATGCGAATTCAATAGTCTTAATGAATTTGCTCATGTTGCATTATTTAATTTATTGTTTAATTTATGAAAATATACAAGATTAACAAATTAGTGGAATTATTTTAATTAGTGGATTAAACTCCTAAGTATGTATTAAATTAACAACATTGAATAATGTTAAGTAAATTAAAATCTAAATGTTGGTCAACGATGCTTCTGGCGTGGCATGATTGAACTAATTTTCATGTTTTGTTAGGATGTTGGCATTTGTGAGAAGTGATTGACACTAAAAAAAGATGAACTTTGTTGTGTCCCCCAGTACCAATACCTAGATATGCCAAACTGACTGTAAAGTTTCAATCTTCTTTAACAAAAAAATCCAACAGATGGCTGGGCATGGCATATTTACATCCCATTATTTCTAGTCTGTGATATCCACCATGGCCTTTCCGCATAAATGAATGGTGTTAGTTTGACTAAAGTTTTATGTTTCGATTAGATTTGATTTCCCAACAAATTGCAGCATTAGTTTAACTACTGGCTTTATTAGATGCTTATAAACTGAAATTCTATGTTGGGAGCATAGTTCTGAAAGCTTAACACTGATGAAGCCATGCTTGAAAAGCTGATCAGCCAGTCCACTACTTCCCCATGTCCATACCCACTAGATTAGATTGAGCTGAAAAATACCTAATGCCAGCTCGATGAGGCCATGAGTCTGCTCTGTAGACAGTGTGTGCTAATAAATGTCTACAGTCTAGACAATACTGGTTTCGTTAGTTTTTTTTTAAAAACCATCATCTGTTTGGGCAAGTTCTACTTGTGAAAGGTGTTTTAGTTCCTGATTGAAATGTAGGAGATCACCCAGTAACTAGAACGAATACCAAATGTTTTTAGTGTGCTTTGTTGTATTATTGCACAATCTCCTATACCTTTAAATCAGCTGGCTGATATCACCACACATGACATTTCAGAATAAGAGATCTCCATCTTGGTTTGTCTGCATTCTCAGTTGCTGGTTGGTCTATTAGCAAGCAGTCAAGAAGTCAACCATGTATACAATGTAATAGTAATTAAATAAGCATATAATCTAGATTGTATATGTAAACATGAGGTATCATGTTAGTGTGCATACTTCATTCTTGATAAACTTCCAGGTATCTGCCTAATTAGGACCCTGACTCTTTGTGGTATGTTAGTTGAGCTAATAACATATAGCAAACCATGAAGCACGTCATGCTGGCAGCGAATGATGGCGTCTCTGTGTGCTGGAGATGTTTATCATCCTAGTGCTTGCACTGCTTCCGAGCACTATGGTTTTTAAATATTGCTGTAAATCTAATTGTTTTCTTCCCTAAAGGTTGCTGAAAGGGCGCTTTATTACTGGAACAATGAATACATTATGAGTCTCATAGAAGAGAACTCTGCAGTCATTCTGCCCATCATGTTTCCCAGCCTTTACAGAATCTCTAAAGAGCATTGGAATCCGTATGTATTTTTCCATTTTAAATGAAGATATTTTGGTTTACTTGGGGAATTTCATTTTTCTGTGTACTTTCTCTAGTTCAGCAATGGCTCTGCTGATATTATTTCCTTTTTAGCTTGGACCTTCCCTTCTAACTACATTTAACTTTCCAATTGCTCACTTTGACAAGTAGTGCTCAAGCTTGTACTTGGTCGCGAGCTTAGTACAGATTTTCATTGGATGACTCATCCAGCCTTCAATTTAGCTTCCCAAGTGTCTCTGACAAACCTGCCTGCTGCTCCTGTGTCAGTTTGAATTTTGTCAAAGTTATTAATGGTTGACACCATGGGATCCTTTTCTGCTTGAGGCTGAACAGATACCAGGTCTCCAGTTCTGAGTTCCAGGAAACTACATTATTTTCTCCTTGGCTAGCTGTAGAGACGTGCCTGTGATGTGCTCAATAAAATGTGCTTTCAATTCTAATTCTAGGCAGAGTATCCATTTGAAGTATCAGTATCTGAGCTGATGGAGGGTACAAGAAACACCTTACTGGTGATTCCTCAGAGATCTATGATTTCTTCCTGAATTGGAGGAGATGGCGTTAGCTGGGTGGGATCTGCTGTCCTCTGAGTGGAGATCACGCAGATGCTGCTGGTGCATGCAGAAGCGAGAGAATGAGTAACAAAAGAGGTAGAAATTTGGGTGTGTTTTTGCAGTCGTTACAGTGGCAGTAAAGAGCAGCTGTGCAGTTAGTGAATCTTACACAGTTGCTAGGACATGAGCCGTTTCTATCCCCACTTATGGGCTCAAGGATCCTCTCATCCTATGGCGTGAAGCGATGAACGATTGACGCCCTTTGGCTTTCAGCCCTATGATAGGTTGTTTTCTCTTGGAATGACACAGGAATTAAGCGAAATAAAAATGGCCAACTCAGCTTTTGAGTATTGGTATGGGTGGATGAAAGCTGTCCAGGTCAGTGAGTAGAAAGTGCATATGACAGGAGAAGTTAGCAGTCCAGGGGAATGGGATGGATGAGAGATATTGAAAGAAGGTGTGTACAATGGTAGAAGTGATGGACCATGAGTCTTGGCGGGGATGTGTGCAGAAGCAGCATTTGAGTGAGAGAGTAGCAGAAAGAAAATGGTTACCTTTGCAGAGTGCAGCAGGTCATTAATCTTTTTCTTGCACTACTGCGCATGGCCTTGAAGCATAAACACAGCACTGACCCGAGTAGCAACTTCACACATGCTTGCAGGGTCTGGTACCATGGTCTTTGCTGGAGGCCCTGAGGAAAGAGAATGCCTCTCCGGTCTGTGAGAACCTTGGTCTTTGTCAGCAAATCAGGATGCCCATGTACCTGTGTCAGCCATCTCTGGAAAAGTCCTTCCCTGTACTACAACTGTAAAGGGCTATTCCTGACTTACGGTATTTGAACTGCTGCAAAGCTGGAATTTGGGCCCTGTATCTAAGGATGGAGGAGGTCCAGAGAAGGTTTACAAGAATGATCCTGGGGATGAAGAGCTTGTCATGTGAGGAGTGGTTGAAGACTCTGGGTCTTTACTCAGTGGAATTTTGAAGGATGAGGGGGATCTCATTGAAAATTACAGAATGCTGAGGGGCCTGGATAGAGTCGACTTGGAAAAGATGTTTCCACTGGTGTTAGAGAGAGAGAGAGACTAGGACCTGAGGGCACAGCATCGGTGAAGGGACAATCCTTTAGAGCTGAGATAAGGAATTTCTTCAAGCAGAAGGTGTTGAATCTGTGGACCTCATTGTGCTGCGGAGGCCAAGTCATTGAGTGCAGTTAAGACCGAGATAGTAAGGGGATAGTAAGGTTTTATGGAGAAAAGGCAGGGCAGTGGGGTTGAGAAACTTATCAGCCATAATCGAACGGTAGAGCAGACTCAGTGGGCTGGATGACCTAATTCTGCTCCTGTATTTTTATGGTCTTAATTTTGACACCAGCAGCAGGAAACATGCAAGTCCCAACAGTGGTTAGTGCTCTGGTTACTGCTGAATGCAATGTAAAGCAAGAGCAACACCTTTAGGGACATGGTGCATATTTAATTAGGTGAGCAGCTTAACATTGCGTGAGAAAACATGCTGGAGTTCATGGAAAGAAGCCTTCCATGAAACTCTCCTAAACTGACAGCCACCATTTGGGAATATTCAGCCCATTATTTTTGACTTCTGTTCTAATTTGAATAATTATGTCATGTGTTTCATTTAATGTAAACCTTCTGTGTTCAAGGCTCTTCTGATTGAACAATATGTAGACATTTGTAATTTCAGAAATCATTTTGCTGGATTTTCCTCCCTGTCTTATTTTCAAGCATTTTTATGTAGTGATAAATAAATTTGGTATTAATAATCCATTTACTCTAATGAGCTGATGCATACCCTAAGGTTGTTTTCTTAGATATTGTATTTTTGGTTTTATTTATAGTGGATCTAACTGCACTGGAGGGAATCTGAATACTACTGTAGCGCCAGGGATCAGGCTATGGCGACTGTCTGTGTGAAGTTTGCACATTGTCCCTGCGTCTGCATGAGTTTCCTCCCATAGTCTAAAGATGTGCAGGTTTGATTGGCCATGCTAAATTTCCAGGGATGTGCAGGTTAGATGGACTAACCATTGGAAACGCAGGGTTTCAGGGGTAGGGTGGGGGGGGTGGAATGCTCTTCGGGTCAGTGTGGACTTGATGGGCCAAATGGCCCACTCCCACACTGTAGGGATTCTGTGGTTCTATGCTAGTTATATTATTTTTTTGGAAATCACTTGAGTTTGTCAGCATTTTTTCAATGCTCAAGTAACCATAAGTTTTATTTTCTGACTTTTTTTTACTTGCAGTATGTTTGTTTCTGGTACATGATAACTTGGTCGAAACACATATTCTAAGCATTGGTCTGTTTCGCAGGGCAATTGTAGCTTTGGTCTACAATGTACTGAAGGCTTTTATGGAAATGAATGGCCCATTATTTGATGAGCTCACGGCAACCTACAAGTCGGATCGCCAAAAGTAAGATCTTAACAGTCTTCAATATGGCAGTAATCAATTAAAAATATCAAACATAGGATTTTCCGTACAACAGTTATCTTTCAAAAGCCTGTCCCTAATTAGATTTTGAGCTTTAATGCTTACCTTGAGAGATACCAAAAATGATTTGCTTAAAAATATCAGTTTTCTATTGACGCATGCAAACACATGCACAGAATAATAGGATTTGTAATATATTCTCACTTATGATTGAATGCCTGCTTTAGAAAATAACATGAAAATAAAAATTGAAATGCAATTTTCTTCAATTTGTAAGTTAATGTAAATGACTTCCTTTTCCTCCTCCCAACATCTCCCTACCCACGTCATGAACTATCAAGATTAGTGAGAAAATGATGAAGAGGTTTGGTACCCTTTAATTTCTCTGTTCATGAATTTTGGCTGCTGATATCACGATCAGTTTAAAGGGATGAGGCAGTCTGTTGATTGCATCTCCTGAATGGTAGCAGCGTCACTGCTGTACAAATCAAAACTCTCAATTTTCATCCATGATGACTGCCGCATTTGAATATGGATCACACCTAGGAACGATTAAAGCGCAATCTGTACTTTTAAGAGGTTAAGCTCCAATAATGGTTTGTTTTCCTAATACTTGCTTCAGTCTAAAGTAACAACTTACAGGAGGAGACTGCGAGATTCATAACATGGTCCTACTTTCTTTAAAATATTTTTCAGAGAAAAGAAAAAGGAAAAGGAGCGGGAAGAACTTTGGAAAAAGTTGAGGGCACTTGAAATAAAGAAAGGTGCGATAACCGGGACGTCACCTCAATGAAGAAATTTGGTGCTAGTGTTCCCATGATATAAGTTTATGTAGTAAGAGGTGGAGCAACAGTTTTCTGTATTGTGCTACTTACTAGATTTTGCATCTGTTTCATTATCAACGACAGTCAGTTCTGTAACAATATTGTATATAACTTTTCTCTTCATGTTGAAATGGTGTGTCAAAAAGAAGGGCGTCAGCACGAAACGTGTACATTAGATGGATGTTTTGAGAGCTCATTGTTCTAACTCTCTTCAAAAAAAGAAAAAAAGTCTAGCATCCACGTGGGTGGTACAGAAACTCCAAAGAAGATAGCTATATCAGGATACCTGAATCGAGCGTTCCCTACTTATTGGTGGCAGACTACAAGCAAATATATTTTAGACTGAAGGCTGTGCTCCTGCTTGACCCTGAGACTTTTTTTGCATTTTAATTTATACTTAAGGTGAAGTTATTTCTTACAAGTTATGGAAGTTTTATTTTTACTTTGGTTTGAAACCTATTTGGTGTTACAATACCTCTTATACACAGCACACTGGTTGTGTAAGGGTTAGTGTCCGTATGCATCAAGATGCAATTGATACCCTTTTGTACTGATGGAACTGTATTAAAGTGCATGCCTGGCATATGCACCAGCAGTAGTGTATATTAGAGAAAGTATCTGGTCAAGATACGTAATTGTTTTAATGGGATACAAATCTGAGTAAGCAGGAAATCTCCAATAACTAACCAAGTGTAAGTTGGTTGTACAAGATGTTGTTTGTTTGCAATATAAGCTACATAACCTTTTTATTGTTTTCACATTTACACCATGCAAATAATTCATACAGAAAACTTAACTTGAACGTTCCTATAGAGAAATGAGCCCCTTCTTAACTCCATGCACAGAATTTAATTATAAGTGCATCAGACATTGAGAGCACGAAATACGTGTATGTCGTGTGGCACGACATAAGGCTAACATTGTTAGGATTCTGTATATTTAATACGTGGGGTCATCCACGCCATGCACACTGCAGCATTCTTAATGAACCAGTAGGGAAATAAGCCATAATATCTTATGGCATAAAATGCACTGTATTGATCCAATTGGATTGTTCACTACCAGTGTTACATTGCCCCATGTTACATTGCCCCATGTTACATCACTCTGTTGATAAAGCAGTTTTTATCCCACCAGGTGTGGGAAGATGTATGGTATCAAACTTCTTTTCAAAAAAACTTTTTTGTAGTTTTTAATTTTACTGCAGCTCAGACATGCTCATCATCCTGCACTGTTCTCAACCTTTTTTTTAAAAAAAAACTTGCGTCAGACTTCAAATAACCATTAAATGATCATTAAGTTTCACAGGTTGTCCTTGATCCTTTTGTTCATTACTGCAAAGTGTTGGGATATCGGAATGGAATCTAATCAAATGCTGTTTCTTTTAAATTAGATAGCAAACATAGCAAAATTTGATTTCTTTCAGTTTGAAGAAAGGGCTAAGTGGGCCAAACAAGATACTGCCTCATCAAGAAACATGTGATATTGAGTAATCACTACTTGGTTCAAGTACAGATACAAGATATTTGCACTTAGCTAGAATTGGTTACTATACAATGGATGCTGTACATTAGATCTGCACCAGTGAAAGTGTTAAATAACACAAAAATTGATGTGTGTATGCTCCATGGAAATGTTTGGTTTTTTTGTTGGGGGGAATAAGCTAAAATAAAATATGATAAGCAGAAATAAGATATTTCAGATGAGCAGGGCTTGAAAGAAATGTATTACAACTTTTATAAAGGTTGACCAGTAAAACAAGTTAAGACTGTCTTAAAGACTCCACTGTACTTTTCAGAAGTACCAAGTGTTGAATGTGATGATGCATTCCAGTCAGTAACCTCCTTTGTTTAAGCAACCAAAGTGTTGCTGACTGAGCACATTGATAGTACATATGGTGGGTTTTGCACCAATGCAAAGCAGTTGCTGTATTTCATGACAGATTACTGTGAACACCTTCAGTTCATTTTTGACCACATACTGTAAATAGGCTGTAATCCGATGCTCATGTATTGACTGAGGAGTTTTAAAATATAAATCTTAAATATAAAATATAAAATGAATTTCTTGTGTTACCTTCTTTATCATACATGGAAAGACAATGCTACCTACTTAGTATTCTTTGTATGGAAAGTGCACTTGAAATTTTTCATGTCTTTTTATCTGTCAGCAGTATTACTAAAATCCTGGCAGTGTGTAAGTTATGTATATTGCATAATTGTACAGTAATGAATCAAATACATTCTGTAAATTATGTTCTTAAAACTGAGATTACTTTGTCAAAACCATTGATTCAAAAAATATTTTCAACAAAGTGGCATTGTATTAAACATAAAATATTAGCACCTGTATCATTTTATGTTAAACTGCTGTTCTCATCCAAGATTACCTCGAAGGCACTCTACACAAACGCTAGAATTAATTTTAGTGTGCCACTCACGTCAATGACAGACTTGAGTCTTTATAAAATCAATTATCAGTGATTTTTTTTTTGTCTGTAATCATTGCAAGTACTTTCATGTGTTATGGACACCTACATTCCTTTTGCTCCGTTGAAGGATTAGTTAACAATGAATTGCTTCGGTGCACAAGAAATATTTATATATGGAGATAACTGAACAAAGTGTGGTTGGTTGCAACTTTACTCCCTGGTTATAAATGTTAAATAGTTGACAAGTGTATAAGAAACTAAATGTCAAGGATGCTGAGGAATCTTTATTACTCTCTGAGCTGGTAATATTTTATGTAACTTACATGGATAAAATCATAAGCTAAATGGCAGTTTTTCCTTTTAATGACATTTTCTAAATAGGTCAACTTTGTTCATGACTGCAAAATATTTTGCAGTTGAGGCTTGATATTACTTGAATCTGATATTGTATTTTTGAAAGAGCAGTAAGTTCACTAGAAAATGAGTATTGAGCTTTAGACCAATATTTACTATCAAACTTCAATCTGTCGACAATATGGATATAGTTTTAAAGCAGTCTTTCTTCCATTAAATATTTGTGATGAGAAACAAATTGTTAAAAAGTACCCTTTTTTTAATGACTGCCTTAAATCACTATTCAATATGATCCGACAAGTTGTGATAGAGGCTGTTAATGGCAGTTTAGAGATTTGGGGATGGGTATTCTATAAATTCAATTTTCAGTTATGGTATTAAAATCAAAATGTTTAATGTGTAGCTGCAAAGCTGTACTAGGAAAACATTTTGTAATGGTACTATTAAACTATAAATACTAATTTATCATTTATAATATTTTTAAAAGTAAAACTAATTTTAATTAACTACAACTTTATCGTATTAAAGTTTATGTTCCAGAAAAGTACAACTTTAAACAGATTTAAGCAATCGATGTAAAAGGATTAGTTAGATTATGTAGGATCTTTTATTATTGAGGAAGAGCATTAAAGTTATATTTTATATACTCTGAATTAGTGTATATTTCTGTACTATATATTTAGTATGATTGTTAATGAAATAACTTCCGAAACAGTTTTATAATATAAAAAAGAATTATGCTAATGTGTTGCTTCTGACTCCCCCTCAAATAACTTGCTGCAAGGGAGGGCTCAGGAGAGGGGCAGTAAGGAGCAGGAAGTGAATGGATGAATGGGAAGAGTTCCAGTTGTCAGATAGGGAAGCAAAGACAGTGTGTCTTGAGGATCAGGAAAGGTCTCTCTGAAATGGCACCAATTGGATCATGTGCACTTCATTGCCTCTGGCGTGAAACAACATAAAAATTAAGTCCTAACACAGCGAGCATACTGGCCTCATTATATCACAATGCTAAAGAGAAATGCTGCCAAATGAGGCAATTTTAAATAGGGACTTGCTGTATAACACTCAAACTTTACCTTATTTAATGGTTATGGTTATGGTTAACAGTTAACTCTGAATCTATTTTAAAAAGTTCAGGTAATTTCACTCTTCAAAATGATCGCCTATAAAAGTAAAGATTATTTTTATAAAAGTCAAAATATTCAAAAGAATTTCACCAATCCTAGACTAAAACCTAACAGCAGTGGTGCAAATTCTGGTAGATGCAAAACTGCACTTGAATTAATCCAGACTGCACAATAACAGCTGATTGTTTAACCCATCACATCTGTGGTGGTATTCTGTGTCCTGCATACTTAAACTCACTTTCCTGTATGCTCTGAAACCTCTTTAATTATCGATCCTTCAAAGCAATTAACTTCCTATTTAAATAATAGATGGAATCTTTTTTAATATTGGTTTGTGGCAGTGAACTTTATGCTGGCCTTCCTTGAAATTGTTCTTACGAATGTGTTCACATTTTGACCATCAGGATAACTTTGAAGGACTCAATCAGATCTGTATAATTTTAACACCCTCCCCAAAAAATTATCTAAAGTAATTTATTAGAATTTGCCTTGGGAGCCCACAATCCCATGGTCTAAATGTGGACTTTACCAGTTTTAAAATCTCTCCACCCCCAGCCTCATTCCCATGTCCAACCCTCCCTCTCATCCCCGCCTCCTTGACCTGACACAACCTGTCCGTCTTCTCTCCCACCTATCTGCTCCTCCCACCTCAGTGACCAATCCCCACCACTGCCTACCTGCACTTACCTATCACAATCCCAACTACCTTCCCCAGCCCCACCCTCCTCTCTATTTATTTGAGCTCCCTTCCCCCATCCCCATTTCTGAAGAAGGGTCCTGACCAAAACATCAGCTTTCTTGCTTCTCTGATGCTGCTTGGCCTGCTGTGTTCCTCCAGCTCCACACTGTTATATCTTAAGTAATTTATTCCTAGTTTTCCAATTTGTAAGCAAATCATTTTTTGTAAAGAAGTACCTGTTGCTGAGGGTGGAGTTTCTCTTCAACCTGCTGACTAGAACCCCAAGCAAATATAGCATTTCAGAATAGGTAATGCTAGAAGTATTTGGCTCTTTAGGCAATATCTGTCTCCTTCCAACAGATCCTTACCCCACAGATGCCACCAAACTTGCTTGAGTATTTACAGTATTTCATGTTTATTTTAGACTTCCAATATTTTATCTCTAGAAATTCAGATGTCTAATCAAAATAAAATGTTTGATTTTTAAGGCCACTCTATTTTCATGCATTGCATTGGCTGAGGTAGACTGCTTGAATGATTAATTTTGCTTTGTCTTTAAAGTTCAAGCACCTGCTACTCCATACTAAGCATTTATAAAGAAAGTCGGAGCAGATTTTTTCAATAGTACAGAAGAGGGCTTGTCTACTTCGAAGGAAAAAGCATCCAGAGATTCATGATGTTCCCATGATAGAATTTGCATGTTTCACATGAGGTTTATGAGAGTTGGGAAGAAATGCTGATCCTGTGTAATATACCCTACCTGGAACTTTAAATTAGGCAGACGTTTCGCAAGAGTTGAAATGTAACATTTTCACAGCTTGAGCCAAACTTTCCGTGCGTACTGATACTGGTACCTTCAGGGGGAAGCACTAGCTTCTGTTGTGTTATAGCCATTATGACAGGAGGATATGCAGCTCATCGGGGAGGCAATGACCGAGTGCTATTATTGCTGGACTGTTAGGGACCTGGGTTTGAATCCTTCCACGGCAGATGGTGGAATTTGAATTCAATAAATATCTGGAATTAAGAGTCTAATGATGACAATGAATCCATTGTCAATTGTTGGAAAAATCCATCTGGTTCACTAATGTCCTTTAGGGACCTTACCTGGTCTGGCCTACAGCAGCACAGCAATGTGGTTGACTCTTGACTGCCCTCTGGACAATTGGGGATGGGCAATAAATGCTGCCTAGCCAGTGATGCCCTCATCCTGTGGACAAACATTAAAAAAAAAAATTGGTCAGAACTCGGAGGTATGAAACTTAGAAATGATCCAATTGCTAACCCACACTCTCTAAAAGTGTGGTGCTTTACCCATTTATTATTGGTTTTGAATTTAACTCGAGGGATGTTATGCTTTGAATTTGAGTCACTAACTTTCCTTTCCCATTGCATATTGCCTACTGTGTAGGTATTAGAGAGAAAACTATTATATTTAAGTGTTGTCCCATGTAGTTCGGTTGTTTTTTTTTATATGAATGCCACTTTTCTAGAGGTAAGTGATAATGGGTTTTTTATCCTTTAGAGAGTTGGGCACTGCAGGACTCTTGCATTATCTTCTCCCCTACTCCTTTTTTAATTTCAACCCTCCCTTTTTCTTTACCTGTCCCTTTTTGTTGTAGCCAGTGGACAGTGCTTGTTAGTTGCTTCTTTAATTAGAAACACACAACTTGGAGGTATTATACACAAATGATAATAGGGTAGCTTTGAAGAGAAATGAAATTGCAGTTCAACAATTGTAAGTCATAACTTGTAAGCAGAACTGAATATATTTTCTTTTTTGTTTAAAAAAAAAAATGGAGACCAGTCGCCAAAGTAGACGAGGCTTTGAAACCTTGTACTGACCAAGTGAAACCAGTGGAAGCAAGTGGGATAGGGGTGGCTTGAGAATGATCATTCTATTTAAAAAGTTTTGTGCTTTTGGAGGAGGACAGGTCTAACAGTCGTAATTCATACCACATAATGTGCAGTGAATTTAAACTGATAATAGATGCAGGTCCTACTTACCACTGAGATTACAAGAGGATATTTGTGAAGTTTTGATACTCTTGTATGACCTTGTGACAAATTTTGCATACCAAGAATAACCTAAAGGTGAGATTTAGTTCTTAGGTCTAAGATAAGTTTTAAGTGAAGTTTGAGAAACATTGCATATCTAAGAGCATTCTAGACTCCTTTTGATATGTGCTTTTAACCTAGAGATTAGATACATTGAGTTTCCTGTGGGGGATATACATTTCACTTTTCACTTAATGGCTTTTGATCTGTGATCTGTAGCAAAATGCTACAGTTGGTCAAATTACTATATTTTGTGTAACTTTTAATAAAGCACCATATCTGTGGTATTTTGCAATGCAAGCTCGAGTCATTGGGAATCCAGGTTCTGAGAAGCAAATAGCAAAAGTTAAAATTGTTCGAAAAATACAGTACCGTCACTGGAGAGAAAGGATAGTCCACGTTTCAAACTTGTAGACTTGAGTCTTCTACTTGTTTCGTCCATGTGTGTTGAGAGGATTTGATCCTTCTTGACCTGTCTCTTTCAGATACGCAGCTTTTGGATCTCCCCCGCCCCCACCACCATCACCACCACCACCACCACCCCCAAACTCCTGGGCAGCTGAAATAATGCCATAATGTTTTCTTCTAGTTCTCCTGGGTATTGCTACCAATTGGTTATGAAGTAAAGATTCAAAGTAAAAATGATAAAGATAGACTTGTCTTAAGTATTAACTGCCGATAAATGTTTCAAACTTTTCTGTCATTCCATAGGTGCTGTATCCTAATATAGTGATGCTGCAAGAAAAAAAAAATCTAAAATGTGAATAAATATCAAATGATACAGCTTGAATGAAACTTTTTGGTTCACGTTTGTGTTGTTTTCTGGGATGCAGTGTGATAAAATACCAAGCTACTAGTTTGTGTATTACATACCCCTCCTGAATTATATAGGTCAAATCGAAGCAACCGAAAGTTAATTGGCTCATTTCCTATTCTGTCTATCTTTGGTAGACATGCTAAATGCTAGCATCCTTTACTGAGTTCCTGAAAAATGTTGAATTGAACAAAATTTGTTTAGCTGTATAATAAGGTTGGATTCTGCTTCTGAGCTAGACAGAGCAGTGGTTTCCTGCCTGTTCATTAAAAGTAAAGTCGCCATAGTCATTGCCTAGGGCTAGACCTTAGGGCTACTCCCTCATTGGAGAGAGATGACTGGTGGTGATTCAACCTGAGATCACCACACCTCAGGTGAGGGGAGAGGTTGAGACGGAGCGTCCTCCATGGTAACCTGAATTGGTGCTGGAATTAAACCTAACCGCTTGGTGCCACTCTGCGTCACAAACCAGTTGGCCAGCCAGTTGTGTTAACTAACCCCCATTCATTAGAGGGACTATCTAAAAGCACCAAATTGTGAATGGGTTTTTAAAATAGAGAATTGGTTGAACTGGCAAAACGCATGGTGTATATGGGCTCTTGAATTCCCTACCTTCACCCAAAATAAAGATCAGAGCTTGTTAATAAGGGTAAAATAAAACCAAAAAGTCCCATACATTGATGCGAGATCCTGACCCAAAACATCAACTTTCCTGTTCCTCTGATGCTGCTTGGTCTGCTGTGTTCCTCCAGCTTCACACGTTGTTACCACGTATTTATGCCACTGGATTACCATTGAAATCAGTGGGTACTAAAATTCAATTGAATGAGCTAAACCGAACATTCAGGTTGTGGTCGACAGCATTATTCAAGAAAGATTATATTAAAACTCCTTAAAAACATATTAGCGGATAATGCTGTAAATGGGCGACGTCCATTCACTGAATTGGGATGTAATTGCATGTTAAAGCCATTGTTTAAATTGTTTCAATTTCAGGCACAAACGTTTTTGCAAATTTTAGTGAGTGGACAAAAGAACTGGGATAGAAAACAAAACAGTTCAACATTCCCATCACTGACTTGCCAGTAATAATTTGTATTTCTGTAATATGTTTAAAGTAGAAAAAGGGAGAAAATAAACTTTGAGGGTAAACTTGCAAGTAATATCAAAACGGACAGCAAGAGCTTCTTTTAAGTATATGAGGAAGAGAGAGACCGAATTGACCATAGGAGCCTTAGAGAATGAGGCTGAGCAAATAATAATAGGGAGCTAGGAACAGTAGGGGATTTGAATAATTATTTTGCATCAGTCTACACAGTAGAAGACACTAAAGTATTTGAAATTATTAAATATTTAAGGGGCAAAGAAGGAGAGAAAATGAATATAATTGCTATCATGAGAGCATGATAACTTTGAGCAAGGAAGTGAAGGGACTGTAGCCAACTTTGCAGACAACACAAAAATATGTGGAA